TCAATCGCCTTAGCATTTTCGTTTAGAATATAACACCATGTCCAACCTATTTTATTTTTTATGATGACATTATATGTATTTATAAGTGATAATTTTTATACTAATAATAATTTCAAATTTTTTATAAAATAAAATTATATATTTTAAAAATATAAATTATCATTCATATATTATAAAAAAATAATAAATTGTTAACTCAATGCACTCCAAGAGGAGGGTGAATTGTAGTTGAAAAATTTTTATCTCTTTGCAACCACTAAACAAAAGTTAAAGAGAGAGTAGAGAAGAAGAGATTGCACAATAATTTTATAGAGGTTCGATCCAACCACTTGGAGTCTAGTATTTTACTGACTTCACTCACCAAGAATTTCCTTCACACTCTCCACTAAGAAAAACAATGGTAACTTAAAGGAGCCACTCAATCTTTTTACAAGAAGAATGATGTTTCTCTCAAGTCTCACCCCTTTACACTTAAACCCCAAGAATCCTCTTTACAAAATCACTTTTGAAGGAATAATCATGCCTTTAAGATCACTCACAAATAGAATAAGAAGAGGATTACAAGTAAAAATCTCTTAAAGATCAAAAACTCAAGTTAAAGTACAAGTTGGTAGGTAAAAATATTCAATATAATGCTCTCCAAACTTATTCTAGGTTTGCTACCAACCATATTTATAGCCACATGGTCGAATATAGCCGTTACTAGTTGTTGGTGGTCATTTAATGCTCTGCAAGTCCCTTAATTCGAGTTACAGAATTGTCAGTATAGCTTGCTTGAGCTTCTAGAGCCGGCTCTATATAGCCGGCTTAAATTTTCTACAGCCCGCTTTGCAGATTTCCTACATTATGTTTTCTCCATAAAGTCAACTTAAACATTCTGCAGCCGGGTTTACAGGTTTCTTGCACATTCTGTTTTCTTACACAGCCAGCTACAAAATCTAAAACCGACTACAAAGCCTAAAGCCGGCTTTGGGATTCTAACTTTGAAAACATTAAATAATTTTCAAATGACTCGACCATTGTGCATTAAATGCGCCCTTACAATCAGCTGCAAATTCAAAGCCGACTTTGCGTTTGTTTTTTGCGCGCAGCAAACAACAGACTTAAAAGTTTAACTAGTAGAGCTGACTTTAAAAGTTGCAGTAGACTCTTTGCATTTCCCACAGTCGGCTGCAAATTCTTTAAATCGGCTCTCTGCACATTTTCAGCCTTTTTGGTCCTTTTTAGTACAATCTTATTTTACTTATTTTGCAGTTTTTTGGTAATTTAACTACACACTTAAATGAACCAGTTAATCACTCAAATATGTTTTATAATCATCAAAATCATAGGTACAACATAATTGTCTAAAATTTGTATAGTAATAAGTAAAATGAAATTGACCTAGTAGACATGAATGACGAAAATGGTTGAGAACTTTGTTTTAACTTTTTTTTTTAACAAAAATGTCCTGGTACTCTCCAATGGGTAAGGTTGTTGTCATCAATGATTTTATTAAAGTTATTAATTTTAATTGTAATATTATCAATTTATAATTTGTTTAAATAATTAATATTAATTATTTTATTAATTATTAATTATTTTTAATAATTAAATTAAAATAAAATTTTAATAATGGTGACAAATTTAACAGTACCATAAATAACATTAGCCCTCTTCAACATGTGCCTGTCACATTCAATGGAATATACAGTACTGAGCCATGGAAACAAGAGAGAAGCCCTATTTCAAGTTTGAACGATCAATCACCTTTGTTTTTCGTCAGGATAACGACGCACATAAGTGGGAGACCTACGATTTGAGATGAGGAGACTTGTTCAAAGTATTATTGTTTTTTGCTTATTTTAGTTGGGTTAATTTCATTTTTGTATAAAATTTAATTTAATAATTTTATATAATAAATACATAATAATTTAAAACGTTTTTTTCATTAATCATAATACTTGTTGAATATTGTCACTTAAATTAAAAAAATTTACAATCATTATTTATTTGTTTATAAAATCAAGTTAATTAACATAAATTTGATTGAGGAAAACTAAGAAAATATTAAAATAAGTAGCACATATTTATAAAAGTTGTAAATTTATATTTAAAATTAAACTTAGATATGTTTAATGTAAAATATAATGTACATTGAAATTTTTAAAAATTAGTGAATAATTATTTAGTTGCATTTGTAAAAAATAAAAATAAAAATAAAACACATTTAAAAAATATGTAATAAAATTAAAAATATATCAAAAATTAATATAGCAATTGATAAAGTAAAACAAATAAATTTGATTCAATAAATAATTATAAGATAAAGTTAAAAACATTTCCAAAGATGAGGGCGCCAAGAGCCTTCGCTGATGCGGATTCAATGATGCTGCCCAATGATTCCAATTTGTATGGATTAAAACAAGTATTTGTGGGATTAAAACATGTACCAGTACTGCATCATTTCTTCGGATTAATTGAATTTTGTTGAGTTAATTTTTTACTTAGTATGAAAGTGCGGTGCTGTGTTAGGTTTAACTGCATTGTAAATTTAGGTATTTTTATCTCTTTTAATTATAAAAATATATAAAATATTTATTCAAATTAATTAATTATAAT